TAAATAGACTTCAAAGCATACTTTAGAAAATACTGAAAACCCAATCTGATCAAAATTCTAACAGTCCCATTGAAAGGGCTATTTTTCCTGTCATCAGTGCCATCTTCTGTACATAGAAGCAGTACCACCTTCTAGAAGTCTAAGGATAGCAGAGGGAGAACTGGGAAGCAGTCATGTAATAATGGTGGAATAAGGACTTTATGCACTAATCATTTCAAAATAAGTTCAGTAGCATTGTGATATATCGTTTTAGAGCAAAAAAGAGAGGGTAGGAATTGTATAATCATTATTAAATGTATTAGTTAGACATTTTTCTATTAAAGATGTTTCAGAGAATTATGGGAGTTGGATGAACGTAACAGCAACATTATGAACACTATTTAGTTTACCTTTTACTTAAAATATACTATGATAATTTTATGAATTTATATATAACTTAACAGCATATTTCAGGCCACATTTTGTCATATATTCTTTTGTCATTCATTCTAAAATTATTCACCACTATGTGTCACTGTTGTTAGTGACACACAGTAAGCAAGTAAAAATAATAATAATTTAAAACGCTTACATGGCATTCTCTGCATAGTTTTGTGGTTGAAAGTTTCTCAACCGAATGTTTTTATGCTATGATTTGGAGCATAGATAATGTCATCTAACAGTCCAGATACAGGGTGGTATATTTAAAGGTCTGTGGACCCTTTAAAATATAGGAACTTATGAAGTTCTTAGTGTTTACATAGTCCCATCGTAGCCTATCTGGTATCTCCTTGGCTCATTAATAGTTTTCTCTACAATATGCTCCTGTTATATATTGTCCTTTCCAATGGCTCAAAACAATGGGGCAGCCCTATCTTGGACTGGAAACTCCACATGAACCAAAATTCATTGCATCTCTTTAAAGTTAGTATTTCAGGCATTTCATTAGAGTAATGAAAACCTGATTCATACATCATGTGTGGTTGTGAAGAATTTTTTTCTTACTCTCAGTCATCAATCATGCTGAATTTCTGTAATTAGTTGTAACTTTGTGCAAATCAGGAATTTTCTTTGAAGATAAGTGTCTTAGGGTTTCTGTTGCTGTGAAAAGATACCATAACTACAAAAACTCTTATAAAGAAAAGCATTTGAGGCTGGCTTACAGTCCACATTCCTTCAGATAAAAACATGGTGCAGCCTATTACAACAATATCCTTGTGCTTGGTAACAACTTCTGTCTTAGTCGGTGTTCTATTGCTGTGAGTTGACACCACGACCATAGCAAGTCTTATAAAGGAAAACATTTAATTGGGCCTGGGTCATGGTGGAAGGCATGGCAGCATGCAGGCAGATTTGGTGCTGGAGAGGTAGCTGAGAGTTCTACATTTGATTAGAAGGCAGTAGGAAGAGAGAATTACACTGGGCCTGGCTTGAGCATCTGAAACCTCAAAGCCCACCTCCATGACATACTTCCTCCAACAAGACCACACCCACTAGTAGTGTCACACTCTGTGGGTCTATGGGGGCTGTTTTCATTCAAACCAACACAATATGCTTTAAAAATAAGTTACTAAGTTAAATCATTTAATGGTTTTTAGGCACTTGACATAAATTGTCAAAGCCTTCCTCAAAAGCATGGGTCTTCCTCTATCAATTACTTCTACTATCAATTTAAATTTTTTTTGGAAAAAAGCCCCAATACTCTCAAGTTAAAATTTTCCCTTTCTACTCAGATGAGGAGTTTTTGTTTTTGTTTTTGTGTACTAGAAGTGCCAATGTATAATTGTCATCAATTTGTATATCATTGGAAACTAGTACAACTTCAGCTGATACCAAACTGCTGAAAAGGCCATTGTGCTGAGGGCTTTAAAGCACTGTTTTTTATTTCTGTATTCCCTGAAACTGCACAAAGCCTGGCACACAGTAGGCCTGAACTAAATAGTAAACTTCATTATTTGTATATTTTCTATTAATACAAATATGAAATATTTTATAAAGGAAGAAGTCTAATGTTTATGTGATTTGATTCTTTTGTTCAGTGTATTTCAGAATGACAATTTGACAATTTGACAAAATGACAATTTGATAGCCTATCACTATGGTTACAGTCATAATTTCACAAATCATTAGTCCTGTAAAGTAATGGAACACTGAGAAAACTGTTCTTTTTCTACCATGATATCAAGGTATAATTTTAGGCCTTATATAGAAGGAATGGTGAGCCACTGAGTTTTGAAAAGTAATGAAACAGAACCAAGATTTTAGAAAAATAATTTTGAAAATAATATGGAGAATTATACTTTTCTTGGGTAGAAATAAGTCCAATATTCCTTTAGAATATGCTTATTTTAATCATAGTCATAGTTATAGAATTTAATATCATTATATATTAAGACCTTCTGTATGATTTCTGCAAAATAACAGTGTAAAGTAAATACAAAACTGTGTTCGATCGTGAAGTTAATTTTCTACTGCTGGTGTATCAAAATAGCACAAATCATTGAGAAAGATAGAAGTTTGTTACAACCCTGATGGATATATGAAGGTATCAATAGGTTTGTCTCTTCCTGAGGTCTCTTTGCTGTGAATACCAGTCCTCTGTGTCTCCATGAGGTGTTTTCTCCAGGCACTCAAAGGCCTGTTGTGCCCCTTTGTTTATGAGAACAGCAGTCATATTAGATTGGGTCTGACCATAAAGAGCGTACTTGATCATTATTTCCTCCTTAATTAAAAGCCCTCAGTTTAGATATAGTCACATTCTGGAGTATACTGGTGGCAAGGATTTCAATATGTGAATTTGAAGGAATACAATTTGGTTCACAACATTTATACAAATAAGTTTATGTGGATCCCATATCATGTCTAAGGCACACTTTTCAAGTTATTTTTCAGCACTTTGGATGACTAAACATTGGCCCTTACTTTTTGTGATACTATCAATAGCTGTTTAGTAGCTGTCACAGCAGGATAATCATTTCAGGGTGATACTGAAAAAAAAAAACTTAAAAACTTAGGTTAGCACCAAACTGAAGACTTTCTTCCCACAGAGAGTTCAAATCCCAGATACTTATATCTAGTTTTTGGTGAGGCCAAAATGTAATTCCAAGGTAAATAAAGTGATACCCATTCTGCACATGGGAAACTAAAATTCAGAATTTAAAGAACTTATATGGTCACATGAACAAGAACTGGAATCACTGTAATTTGCATGAAGCCATTGTCAACACCAGAGGTTCTGAGCCTGTTTTTTGTTTTTTTTTTTTACTTCATCTCCTAATGAGCACTGATGAGAGTTCAGTGAACCATAACAGGGTCCAGGAAATGGACTTTTTAAAGTTAATCCTGTGTGTGTATTTTTGCACATGTATATACATGTGTTCATACATGCATACGTGCCACTGCATATATATAGAGGTCAGAGGACTTTTGGGAGTTGATTTTCTCCATCTAATGTAGGTCCAGAAGATCTGTGGTAATTTGAATGAGAATAGTCCTAGTAGGCTCATATATTTGAATACTTGGTTCCCAGTTTAAGGAACCATGTGGGAAAGGTTAGGACTTGTGGCTCTGTTGGAGATAGTCGCTAGAGGTAAATTTTGAGGTTTCAAAGGCCAATTCCATTTCCCAGTTACCTCTCTCTCTGCCTCGTGCTTATGGAACAAGATGTGAAGTTTCAGCTGCTGCTCCAGCACTGTGCCCCGCCCTGTCTGCTGCTATGTTCCCTGTCACAATAGCCAGGGGCTCTCTCTGGAATCATGAGCCCCAAATTAAATGCTTTCCTCTATAAGTTGCCTTGATCAGGGTGTCTTATCAGAGTGACAGGAAACTAACATGGGATCTAACTCAGTTGTCAGACGTTTACCTGCTGAGTCATAGCAACAGCCCCAGAAGAGCAGATTTCTCAACATTCTAATAACTTGTAACTCTTTAACTTAGGTGAAGGGACCTGCAGTTTCCATGTCTCATGTCCTCTCTAGTTAAACATGCCATGGTATGGGACTTGGATTATGAAGAGAATTCCTTCCTTCTCTGTTTCTTCAACTGAAAATAAGAACAATACCCTGTGATTTTAATACAATTTGTACTTTTTGAGGCACCTGTTGAATTTAATCCCTTGTGTATAATATTAAGAGGTAGGAACAAATGAGATCAGTAAAAGCCAGTTTGGGAGCTGCTTTCGTGAGGCGGTTTAACCTATTCATGAGGTCAACAGATTCATGGGTAAATGTGTTATCTCAAGAAAAATCCTGTTATACAAGTCAGTCCAACTCTCTCAGACATGTGAGGCCCCAGCACAGCTGTAAACTCTTTGAGCAAGACCTTCACCAGAAACAGTCCACAGACCCAGTCAAAATGGAATAGACAGTCGTCTGAGTAATTTAGAAGAGATATAATCATATGTATGTTACAACTTTCTCTGCAAAACAAAAATACATTTAAATATAGAACTTATAAAATGTAGAGCAACATTTATATTCATTTTACTATATTTTTAAAATTCTCCAGTTCCAATGAGGTGCTAGGCCATTTCCTCTGCAAAGTTCAAGCAATAAGGTAGCTTTAACATGTAAATCTCTGGAATGTTTTCCCCTGAGTATAAAACAAAATTTAGCACTTCCATGTTCAAAATCATGTTCAAATAGTTTTGAACATGACAACTTCCAGGAAAAACTAATTTTCACTAAAGGAATATAATGGATGGTACAAACATAATATTCTTTCTCTTCTGTAAAAAAAAAAAAAAAAAAAGAAGAAGAAGAAGAAGAAGAAGAAGAAGAAGAAGAAGAAGAAGAAGAAGAAGAAGAAGAAGAACAGAAGTTGTAGCCACACTATTAATGCAGGTGTAGTGAAATCTTCATAACTAGTGTTTCTATTGAGAATAGATTAGAAACATTTTTTTGATGACTAGTTAGTGAGTCTCCTGAAAAGACCCTATGGAATGCTAAGCAGGCTTACTACTTCCTATTAGGGCAAGCTAGATAGCAAAATGAGAAATTGTGGGAAAAGAGAGAATCACAAACTTTTGTTTTGCAGAATTTAATATTTTCAAAAAACAGAAAATATAAAAGTTATCAAAAATGTGAGAGTTCATTTTGGGGAAAAGTGGTAGGACTGAAACTTGCAGCTCATTCATGGTAAAGTGTCAGAAGCACAGCCATAGTAGCTGTTCAGCATAAAGCCCTCCTAGAAAGAGGCAGGAACAGGGTGGATGGGAAACACATATGTCATGAACTGCAGCTTCCCAATGTCCAAAAGGAGTATCATCTTGCACGCTTAGATTCTACTTCTTCAAGAATCCACTCAATGCCATTCAAAAAACCAGTCAGAGTTTCAGCTTCCATATCCTGGACCTGTGAACAAGTAAAGAGAATGCCGTCAGTTCAAACCAGAATCTTATGACAAGTGGCATTTTTATAGACAATATTAAAAAAAAAAAGAGCTAAGATAGAATGCTCTGAATAAAGCTTGAGTAAGTTTTTCAAGTGCTACCACATGGAGCAATCATGTAAACTAAGCGATCTTCTTCTCTTATACCTTCTAACTACTTCAGTGTTAGTCTTAATTCTTAAAACTCAGTTCTGGATATGGATGGGACAGGTTTCTTGTACATCCCAGAAAACAATTCCTTCAAAGGATCTACTTTAAAATCTACAACACTTTTTAATCAACCTAACCAGACAACTAATAAATGTGACATATTGCAAAACTAGCTGTTGCTGTATGGACCTGACATACATTTAGAAAACATTTTAGCCAGAAGCTGCAGAATACATACTTTTTTTTCTTTTCATCACAGATTGGAACATTCTTTAGAATAGACCCTATGTTAGACTACAAAATCGTCAACAATAAAAACAATGAAGTTTAAAAAATGAACTTTTATTGCTACAGAAGAATAAAACTAGAAATAATAACAATAACAAAAAGTTAGAAATGGACAAATATAGAGACTTAACATGCTACTAAACAATGGGCCATTGGAGAAATTAGGACAAAGTTGGGGGGGGTGGAATGTACCAAACATATGGGATATGGCAAACAGTGCAAAAGGGCAAGCTAGAGGGAAAAAAAAAAAATACCTTCATTAACATACACACACAAAGTTTCAAGGGTAGGAGCATATTTTGGGCCCAAGCCTCAATAAATAAATAAGCTTTCAAATAAGCATGCTAATGATGTATCTCAGGTGTTTTGGGAGGTCAGAGCTGAAAACACCACCAAATTATGAAATGGAAAGAAATACCCAAGATAGCAGTAGAAATAAACAAAACAGTGATGTGAAAATTGAAGAAGATAAACAGTTGGCTTTCTGAACTTTAAACAAAATTAGCATAGCTTTAGCTGGGTTTGGGGGGAAAAAAAGAGAAAGATCTTTAATCCCAGACACAGGTAGATCTCTGTGAGTTTGAGGCCACCCTGGTGTACACAGCAAACACCAGAATAGCCAGAGCCAAACCATGAGATCCTGTCTCAAAAAACAAAACAAAACAAAATGAAAAACAAATAATAATAACAATGAAAGAAGATGAAAATAAAAAGATAATAGACCATTAAAGACTAAAAATAGTTTATCTATAAAGTTTCATGTCAGCTTTTGCTTGAAAATAATCCGTTATTCATATAAAATTTAAAGCACTACTCTATGAGACATACATTGGCAGTGGTGTTGGAGACCAAACCCTTGGGAGTCCTGCATATTTGGCAGGTACTTTACCACTGAGCTACACCCTCAGCCCCAACCAGCAGTATTTTATGATTCTTAAGCATAATACATTGATGCTGAGAAAACCTCAAGAGTGGCATCCTTAAAACCTCCCTAGCTACTGTTTTACTGTTCCTACAACAGAAGAGGAGAGTAGGGAACAGGCAATGAATCCAGATTTATTAGCACTGTCCATCAATCCCTTAAAATTTGCTTTAGAATAGTAATTCACTTTAAAGACAGATGATATCATTCCATTCAGTGGTCCATAGAGTCCTTTGTGTTGAGGCTTGGTCTCCAGCTTAGGAGAAACTAGGAAGTGGTGAAGCATTCAAGAGGAGATGACTGGTGGGAGGTCATTTGGGATGTTCCCTGGAATCTATACTGGGATCTCAGCCCCTCCCTCTTTCTTTTCCTTTTCTGTTCTAAGACAGAGGGTTTCCTCTGCCATGTGTTTATACTATGATGACCTGCCTTGGCTCAGGCTCAAAATCATGAAGGTTAACTGATAACTGATCATGAACTAAAACAATAAAAACCAAAACAAAATACACCTTTCTTTCTTTTTAAGTTATTGTCTTAGGTATTTATTACTGTAAAAGAAAGCTCACAAACACACATACATGTACATATATAAATAAATACACACACAACAGAAAGTACACTAAAAATATTTTTTTTGTCACTAGAGCAGTTAGAACCTTACCATCCATGGGTGGTTTAGAAGATTGAGACGTAGCTCATGAGCTAAATAAAAACAGGGCATTCTTTTTACATCTGCTTGAGAAATACAAGATAAAACCAGCATTGGTCTTCCTGAAGATCCAAAAGCTGGATCTGTCATGGCCATGATACGAGAAAATTCATCTTGCCATTCATGTCCTAAGGAATTTAAATTAAAATATGTGATTTTCATTGCTTACAATTGGTCTAAAAATAATTATATTTAGAAAATAGCACACAAAGGAATTAAAAAATTTTAGCAGGATTTAACACAACAAACTGTCTTTATTGTTTTGCCACAAAATTCTATTAAATAGTCTTTCAAGGATAGAACTTTAGATGATGTAATAAAGAAATACAGTCACAATAACATTCAGTTGTACTGATCATTTAAAATATATGGAAAGGATAGGAGCTCTACAAGGACCAAATATATCCGGGCACAGGGTCTTTTCTGAGACTGACACTCAACCAAAGACCATCTATGGATATAACCTAGAACTTCTACTCGGATGTGGCCCGTGGTAGCTCAGTAACCAAGTAGTTTTCCAAAGTAAGGGGAACATGGACTATTTCTAACAGGATCTCAAGGGCAGGCTGTTTGACCCCCCCCCCCCCCCAGGGGAGGAGCAGTCTGTTAGGCCACAGAGGAGGACTTTGCAGCCAGCCCTGAAGATACCTGATAAAACAGGGTCAAATGAAAGGGGAGGAGGTCCTCCCCTATCAGTGGACTTGGAAAGGGGCAGGGAGGAGACCAGGGAGGGAGTGTGGGGTTGGGGAGGGAATGAGGGAGCGGGATACAGCTGGGACACAGAGTTAACAAAATGTAACTAAAAAGAAAAATAAAATTAAAAAAAAATAATGTCTGTGACATGATACTTATCTCTTACACATTCTGCTACTGTCTGATGACCCTTTCTTCCAGGGGTCTTACTTCCAACGTCTGAGTGTAAAATTGGGTCTAATTTTCATCCAAATTTTTTATCTCTGCCTTTTACTATAGGGTCCAGATCACTGACATTCTGTGGGAAACACAAATCTCAAGCCAATTCCATACAGCAACCTCCTGAGAACCTTGGTCTACAGGTACAAGCCACTGCTTCTTTCTCTATCTCTGGACTTTTAGATTTAATGATAGGTGTTGTATATAGAAAAGCAGTTAGAGGCCTGGTAAAGAGGACCAACTCTTACACAGTCACAGGCATGTTCCTGTGACTGCTATGCCACTAACACACTGATTCCAGTCAAACCAGTCTATTGCTGGTGGATTTGGCCTCTACTGTGATTTAATGTCAACAGAGACATTAAATCTGACTAAATCTTCAGTCAGGAGTGGTGGATCACACTGGTAACACCAGCAATCAGAAGGCTGAGGCAGAATAAGTGCCATAAGTTCAAAGCCAGCCCAGGCTACATAGTGAGAACAAGGCTTAGCTTTACATGCCAGCTTCAGTCTTAGGATGGTAAACATCTAAGCATAAATAGTGGAAGTGTTCTTGGCGTCCCAGCGAGACTACTGGATTCTGCCCTCTACTACCAGCAAGGTCTTCTGTGAAAACTTCCTTCCCCTCTACAGAGTCAGAAAGCAAAAATTTATTTCAGTACAGCATGCTTGCTACAAACTGGATCCCCACCTCTGAGTTCAGGCAAAGAACATTTGCGTCTACCTTTCTCTCAGGTAGCAGTCAGTCTCTGCCTGGTAAGAGGCAGGGGGATTTCCACAGTTGACAAGAAGCTATGGCAAGATGAGAGTGGTGGTGTGTGCCTTTAATCCCAACACTCAGGAAGGCAGGTGAATCGCTGTGAGTTCGAGGCCAGCCTGGTCTACAAAGTGAGTCCAGGATAGCCAAGGCTACACCAAGAAACCCCATCTCTAAAATACACACACACAAAAAAAGAAACTATGGCTTCATTTGAGAAAATGGTATAGAAGAGAGGGGCTCTGCGGCCCTGCATAGCAGCTCATCAACACTGCCTCATTCACAAAGGGACTCACAGGTCTCCTGTCCTGCCACTATGCCATTAATAGAAAATCTAGCAGAGCTTCATGGACAAGATTCCGTTAGTAGGTACAGACTATTTTTGTATCTTACATATCTCCCCATCATGCTTCGAACGGAATCTGAGGCCTGTTATGAACTAGAACTAATAACCCTGCTTTTTCTACCTGTTTCACAGGAGGCTACTGGGAGCAATGTGGAAGACTGAATAAAAGTGAGTTCTTTGTCAGTTTTAGTTTTCAGTCATATCCCCACCAGCAAATACAGTGTCTGACCTCTACAACTACTGCTCACTCAGCAATGTCTTGCTGAACAGGTAAATCTTTATTTTGCTTCTAATGTTTCCTCTTATAGATAGTCCTATAATAACAGAAAATAACTTATTATTTTCTTTTGAATAATTTATCCAGACTTTCTAAGTATAATTGCCACCAGAACTTAACAGATTGGTAGAGAAATAAATTCATTGTAAATTAGATTCAACACATTAAAAACTATATTATGTGTGTTATATATAAGCAATATGTATATAAATAATTTATTGTATGCTTATATTATAACTTGTACAGAAAGGATTGGGAGGAAATTATAATACTGGCAATGTCATACCAAGACGATATTGTCAGTGACAATTATTCACAGTATTTGGAGAATATCATCAACCCATGATTTAATTAACTTTAATCTACTCAAATAATATCCTATTTCCACACATCTCTACAATATGGGTAAGAATGAACCAACAAATTTTCAGTTATCTACATAAATTTTTTACTATATTAGAGGCAGAGAAAGTATCAGTAATTTAAAAATATAAAACTAAACAAAAAAATACAGCTAGTAAAATGTTGGTATATATCAGGACTCTGTGGTGCTTATAAAAACCAGATGTCCAGGGTACAGGCCAAATCTATCACAATGTGGCATTCTAGGAATCTTTCATGTGATCCTAATACACAGCAAGGTTAGAGAACACTAGTGGCCAGAATGGCCAGAAAAGGCACAATGGTTTTTGTGTGTGTGTGTATGTAAATAGGCAGGGTTTCTCTGTGTAGCCTTCGCTGTCCTGGACTCACTTTGTAGACCTGGCTGGCTTCAAGTTCACAGCAAGCACCCTGCCTCTGCCTCCTCCAAGTGCTGAGATTGTTTAATGCTGTACCAATTGATTTTTATTTTTTTATTTTTATTTTTTTTTTGCAAAGAATGATGCAGTAGCACCTTGAGGAAGAAATACAAGCATGCTTACGTTTCTGAGCTTCGGCATTGGCCACGTAGATGAACCCATCTACCACTTCACACACCTTCTGAATTTGCGGAATGACACTGTAGCGGCTCCCTTGTTGCTCACCTCCTTCACTCTGTAGGCTGAACATCTTATTCACTGTACTTGTATGCGCTTCCCTTGCTCTGTCCCTTTCCTTCCTTCAAGAAAAAAAATGTAAGCTTATATAATAAAAACATTAAATAGGTTCCATCCCACTAAAATATTTCATTGCTGGATTGTTTCAGGCAGCCCACCAAGCAGGTAGCCTTACCTGGTAGTTGAATATAATATCAGGATATTAAATTTATGCTGATTGCTCAACTGGAAATTGACTCCAGATCCAATACCTACATGAGAAAGTCAGTTATATAAAAAAGCCAATAATAAGAAATTCCAATGAAAAAAAAAATATCCAGTATAACCAAAAAGGGTAAAGGGGAAAAAAACCCCAGCAAATTATATACAACTTTGGAATAAAATGCAATGCTTGTGATGAAGAAAAAAAGTTGTATGTCACGCTGACTCACAAGGCAGCCAGAACAAGGATAGAGAACTATGAACAGCGTGGCTCTACCCCCCATTTCAGTCACCGTCACAAACAGCAGCAGCCCCTGGGGCTGCTGGGCCTCAACACTGACTCACTGCCATATTCTATGCTTCCATTGCTCTTATAATCCATGTAGACATTCAGTGAGGGCCCCTTCTTCCCTTAGGAAAAACTGTTTATAAACATGTGGTGTGTCATTAGACATGCCTGAGAAATTGAGCCCAAACTGCAGATGTTCCACAAGAGCCAAAATACCTGGGCCCAGGGGGCCCCGCAGAGACCAATACTCCAACTAAGGACCATGCATGGAGAATTCCTAGATACTCCGTTCAAAGGAAGTCCATTGGCTGCTCAGTTTCCAAATGGGTTTCCTAGTAAGGGGTACAGGGGCTGCCTCTCACATAAAATCAGTGGCTGACTCTTTGATCACCTCCCCTTGGGAGGTGCATCTTGACAGACCACAGAGAAAGATGATGCAGCCAGCCTTGATGATACCTGATAAACTAAGGTCAGATAGAAGGGGAGGAGATCCTTCCCTATCAGGGGAATTTGGAAAGGGCATAGGGGGAGAAGAGGAAGGGTGAGTGGGACTGGGAGGAGATGAGGGAACGTGCTATAGTATGCTGCAGCGGGGATACAAAGTGAATAAATTTATGTAATAAATTATATAACAAATAAATATATAAATAAAATAAAATATAAAAAACTGCAGATGCTAAAATTTGGAATTAGAATGAGGTGGATTAGAATCCTAGGCTTCCCATGATAGACATTTACTCTGTTTTGAGACAAAAATAAAATAAGCTTCTTAGGGGTGATTGTGAGGATTACTTGATCTTGAGTTGTGATATGTGATAACCCTAGACTGATAAATATCAGCTTCGTACTCTTTTGTGTCTGAGTCTCAACACTGTTGCTGTTCCTTTCTTAGCCTCTTCTGGTTTTTTGACGTTGTTTGCTTGTTTGATTTTTGTTTTGTTAATGTCTTTTTTTTTTTTTTTTTGCCTCCTGTAAAAATCTGTCTTTATTCCATAGCTTTATTTCTTGCTATATAAATGGCCTCTGATCTGTCCACCATTCTCCGCTGCCATGTTCCTTTTAGGACAAATTAGCAACCTGACTTCTGTACTCTCTTCTAACTGCTCCTGTAAATCCTTCCTTTACTCAGCCTTTCCTGCAATAGCAGTTACACTGCTCAATGATACATCTCATTTCTCTTGTCTCCAATGCCACTGGCCTGCAGACATATAAACAAAACCCAAAATAGTCTGCACCTACTTACCTCATTAGAGACAACTCCAGCCTTTCATCCTATTAATTATTGAACTCTATTTAAATAAGCTATGTCATGTCATCTTATGCCACCATTCTAAGGAACATGTGTAGATTCGAACTTGTGGGTACTAATGCTGTTACTATAGCAAACCACAGGATCCTTTATTCCTCCATCATGATATTCTACAAGTAGCACATGGAAACAGAATCAAATTTTCTGCTTTTTTAAAAATTACTCTAACTCCCAGAAATTATCATTTCAACACATCTAACCCCAGCCCAACTTATTGTGTAACCCATATTCTTCTGTGAACTTGCAGACTGGTATTTTCAAGCAGTCACTTACATCTCTGTAAGGGAAATGTAATTGCCATTTCATAATTATCAAATCTCCTCATGTCTCCTGGCTTTTCCTTAAGTATTGCCTTACTATGAGTCCTTGCCTGAAACTGGCCCACCTTAAGTAATGCTTCTCTTGCTGTGGACTCTCAGGTATCAGACCAGCTAATTTACTCATACTCTATGAAGAAGTGGGCTGATGTTCACTACTCCCCATGACTTTTCTAAACCATGACTCAAAACCCTCTGGAAGAGTCCATCTGAAAAACACACTGTTCAGTTGGACAGCAGTCTCTCCTTCTTCAACTTTGTCATCGATAATCATCTGTCTCCCTGCTGTAGACTTCAGAATGCAGCCCACTATCTTTCCAGCCTCCTAAACTTCCAAGTCCATGTAAACTGCTTATGACTTTCAAGTGTTAATTTCTATAGATCTTGCTCTTTTGATCTAAGCACCTACTCTGTCAGTCATACATTTGCCAATTGTGTCTGTACGTGTGAATATATGTGCATATGTGTGTGTTTGTGTGCATGAGTGCGTGTCACAGTTGCTTTTCTATTGCTGTGACAAAACACCATAACCAAGGCAACTTGTAAAAGAAAGAATGTTATTTGGGGGCTCACGATTCCAGAGGTTTAGAGTCCGTGACCATCACGGCAATGAGGATAGATAGCAACAGACAGGCAGGCTATAGCAGTTGGTGAGAGCTTTTATCTGAGCTACAAGTACAAGGCAGAGAGAGAGAGCTAACTGGGAATGGTTTTTGAGTTTTTGAAACCTCAAAGCCCTCCCTCAGTAACACACCTCCTCTAACAAGGACACACATCTTAATACTTGCCAAACAGTTCCCCCAACTGGGGGCCAACTATTTGAATATATGACCTTCTGGAGGCCATTCTCATACAAACCACCATAGAGTAGAACCTATGAAATGTCTGGTATTACAGATATAAGCAAAAATAAAACTGACAAGATCCCTGCCCTTGTGGAACCTAATGGAATTGGATTATTTATAATACTCATCTTTGTTTATAAATCCCAGCAGTTATTAGAGTCAACAACTTCTATCCCTATTTCCTGCCATGACAAACAACAAACACAAAAAGCCATTCTCCCCAAGTGACTCCTTACCCTGGTGAATGACTTTCTACCCAAAATAAACCAAGGCAGAAACTGCAGCTATCCTTATTACATAATGTACTGATTGCATCAATTTTCATCCTCAATATTCATTCTCTTTCATCCAATGACCCTTTTCATGTTTTTGTTTTTTAAATCATATATTACAACACCTTCTTTAGCCCCTTCTAATCAGTTTTTCACTTAGGAGCCAGAATAAACTTTTTAAAATGAAATCTTGATTATCTCAACTCTGGAAATTTCTTGGAAAGCTCCCCAATACTTAGGCACCCCACATATTATTTTCCCTTACCCAGCTCCACTCTTTCTACATTTAGAGAGAATCAACTGAGTCCTAAACATTCAGAACTTTTTCTTTTTTTCTTCTTAAGACTACACATCTTCTAATCCTGAAGAGCCTTAGAAGGTATCATCTTTCATGTGCAGCCTTCTTGGATTCTTATCTTTCTATTTAGAAACTAAATGATCGTATTCTAATTACCTAAATACTTGTTTGTGTCCTCATTTAGATCCACTGGCTTTTGTGAAAGACCAAGGTTTGTTCCAAATCTCTGTATCTTGACCATACAATGAATAAAGCATATCTTACATTGTATCACTATTTATGTTCATATTTTCCCACCTTACCAAAAGGTCACATGCTGTTTTGTGGATTATTTTTCTATAGATCTTTTTAAAAAAATCCACATATATATATATATGTATGTGTGTATATATGTATATAATTTGCAAATCGATGCTCAATGGTTTTCTTGGTAAATTTCTCTTATGGCAAACATGCTACAGACTACTGAAATCTAGCAATTTATTTTAACATACTATTAAACTCTAAATTATAAAAATTTGAGAAATTAAGAAAAAAAACATACTTCTTATACTAAATTTTTCCATTTAGTGGGAACCAAGAGCCCATTCACCAATTTCTATATTTTATTACAAGATTTAATTTTAAAATCTGTCTCTTTAATACTAATGTCAAGCTCCACGTGTTGAAATTACTTTGTATTGTATATTAAGGTGAAAATTACCATCAATCTGTCTATGAGGCAAACCAGCAGTTGGACAAAGGTCCTCTGAAGACATCAAACTCAACACCAAAGACGTGTTCAGTTCTTCCAAACCTGGTCCAAACATAGCAAATCGGGGTTCATTCTGAATGATCAAGGAGTGTAAAAAAGAGGTAACAGCTCCATACATAGGACGGCTGGCTTTCAAGGCTCTTCTCGTATATGGACAGCACATTTTATAACTGCATAAAATTGTCACAATTAGAAGATAAAATAGAAAATGTTTAATTTGTTGTTCATTTGAGAATATATCATTTATTGAGTCCTTGCAAGACACAGCAATATAAAAATTATCATCTCAACCCTCCCAGACAGTACAGGATAGCCTGGCAGAAAGCCATGGCAAGGAAAAACAGTAAGTGCTAGAGAGTAGAAGTGATCATAAAGCTGCAGAAGCCTCTCCAAGACAAACAGTATTTGCTTTATCTTTTATTTAGTTTCTTTCATGAAACACTTGTTCTAATGCTTGTTTGAATAGCTGAAACTAATTACATAGAATAGTAACTGTTCTCTTTCTAAGAAAGATTTTATCCCTTATCCTAGAGTACAGGCAACATCTGAACAATTTAATTTTTATATCTGGGGAGGATGTGTTACTAGCATCGACTTAGTAGATCCAGAGATGTCACCATACACCTTATTATTTCCAGGACAGTCCCCCAAAACTGTCAATAATGTTAAGATTGAGACTCCCATAAAAAAAGAGAGACTATAGACAGCATTAAATGCCAGAAATTTAAAAAATATTACTAAAGCCACTAATATCAAAGTTCGTAAACACTCCTTTAATCATCTCCAATGCAACAGCTCATTGAAAATATTAAAACAGAGGGAGGCCCAAATAGATCTCACTGAAAATCAGAACAATAAAAATCATGTAAAAGAACCTATGGTGACTGAGCAGGTAAAGGTGCTTATTGACAAGCCTGATAGCTGATTTTTATCCCAGGGACCCATATCATGGAAGGAGAGAATGGACTCCAAAAGTTGTCCTCTGACCTCCATATGTACCATGGCGTATTTGTGCCTGCCCACACATACACACAATAAATATACATAAGAGTAGTTGAGAAAGAAAGAAGTGTCAGTAGAATTTGAGATTATCTAAAAAGATCATGAACTTTTTGATCCAATCATCTCGTATTACCAGGCATGACACCACCTATGTTAGAAAGGCTGAGTAAGAAAGTGTAGGTGAAAAATCCTGTATGTAGCTACTGAGTCTAGCCGAGTATAACAACTCTTACCCAAAGGACAAAGATTCTTTTAGTTTATTTTTTTAGGCTTTTAATGTGGGGTTCACAATAAATCGGGCTTTACCTAAATACAGTGGTATATTCTGAGAGAACATGATAGCACGGAACAACCCCTTACACACTATACCATATGCCAGTCTCTCTCTCTTTGGAAAAAAATAATCTTATTTCATGAAGTCTTAAAAATGGTTTTCTTTCTCACCAAAGGGAATTGTTTTCTGGTCTCTTGGCATTCCTTCTCTGATTACAGAAATGCATTTACCATTTAACAAAATGGAAAATATTATAAAGATTAGGAGAATTTTTAAGAAATGCTTTCTTTCTTGCCAACTGTATTGCATATATAATTAATCAATCAGATACTGGTTAGTCACCACAGGGAAATTACATGAGATTAGAGCTGTCAGGGTCCTCTAAAAAAAAAAAAAAAAGTGTGTTAGCTCAACCCCTAATTTTAAAAAGCAGACATTTAGATAAATTAGTATTGGGATCAGAACTAATGTGGACTATTTACAGTAAAATTTAGTGCCTTGTGTTAATTTACAGAAATAGATACTTACACCTCCATGTAATCAAAACATGTGTGGTTGGTGACCTCGGATATGGGCTTTTTTAAGATCTCGAGATCTGGAAGTGATTTCCAATCAACAGAAGACCAAGAAGGGAGATCCCGCAACAGAAAATATCTCCAGAGAATCGGGTCTCTTACAGTTTCATTCCAATAACGATCTGTACTTCCCAACTGGCACAGGTCATGGGGCGAAAGAAATGACAAAATATACAGCTGTATATCAACCTGAAACAGAGGCACATAAGAAAAAGGAAAAGGAATCATTTGCCTTGGAAAACGGTTTGGTGGTAACTTAATCAACAAAGAATTGTTATGCCAAAGGTCACCTGAATGAGTCGTTCTTTATAACACTTAAGTGTATCTTATCCAGAGAAAAATTAAAGCTAAATGTTTTGATTCCTGACACACCTGAAATGTTGAAAATTCAAGCTCCACCTTTCTTTTTTATTTTATCATTATTATTTATTATTAGACTTAATTTTATGTGTCTGAATGTTTTGCCTATATGTACATATGTACATCATATGTCTGCATGGTGCCCCCAAAGGTCCAAAGAGGGTGTCAGATAAATGCCCTGGAACTAGCACTACCATATGGGCACTGGGAACTGAACCCAGGTCCTCTGAAACAACAAATGCTCTTAACTGCCGACTCATATCTTTATCCCACCCCCTTTATTTTTTTTCAAGCAAAATAACCAATTCCTTTAATTTATCCCATGTGTATTTTGATATAGCAGTTAAGTACTTTATTCTTCAAAATAAACATGTATGGAGTGGAGGTTCTTCTGCTTTCATCACTAATCAAATGAAAGTATGTGCATCTATCATCTGACAGTCTACATAGTGTAGTTATCAGTTTCAAAGGCTACAGGAGAGAATCTTGGAGAGCACCTAAGGCTGTGATTTCCATTTAGAATGAATGTCAGTGGGGTGCACCAACAATCCAACTGGGATAAAGGAACTGTAATTATCTCCTTATTTTCTTATCTTTCTCTGAAACTTTAAACAAGGTGCACTCTCTTTGTGGCCTCTTCTAACTTGAGGTCCTTCTAACTTCATTTCTTTTCAACTATGTTACTTAGGATATATCGGATATATTGCTTGCTTTGGGTGACCCCCTAACTGGATTCTATTAAACCTGGGACTAAAGATTAAGATGTGCAGAACAAAGACACATGAATGCTTTCCAAGCTAACCCATTTCCTTCACCAGATTTCCAGATATCCTATATGGACCACTGACAATCTGTGTGTATCTCGCCGGTCACTAGTGTGGGGTGTGGGGCGGCCCTGGCCAGCACGGGTGGGTAGGACAGCAGGAGTCAACGTCAAGGCGACTCCGGCCGCTTGACTTCCAGGCGAGCCCACACCCGGAAGTGGCTGCTCTGCCGGCCCAGGCCCCGGGGGCTGCCGGGCGGCCCCTCTGCGCGGCCTGCGGTGTCGGCTCACCGGCAGCCGCGTCAGCGCGCAGGTCTCGTCCTCCGCCTTTTCCCGGGAGGCCGTCCGCGCCGCCCGCTCCTTGCCCACCGAATTCCAGAAGGTCCTCCAGCCGCTCAGGATGGCGGCCTCCAGGCGGCTCCAGTCGCTGGCGGGCGGCGGGGAGCCGGCTCCGCGGGGCTCGCTTCCCGCCATGGCCGCCGGCGCCGCGCGGGCTTCCGGGCCACTCGGCCTCCGTCTCCGCCCGCCGCTGAGCCGACCTCGGCTGTCCTAGTGGGCGCGCCTCCCGGCCGAGGTCAGCCGGCCAGCTCCGCCACTCCCTTGTGCCGCCTGCCGCAGCCGGCTCGCTCAGCGCTGCCGCGAACCCTCCGGCCCGGACTGTGCCCCTCACCGAGGCACAGACTAGACGTCCTCTCGGTTCCTGGCTCCAAGCACCGCGGCATGCACCTGCGAACGCTTTGTTGAATGGCCGACGGTTTTCTGTGATCTTGGTCCTGATAAACATTTGCTTCCCAATAAACATTAAGTGTTAAGTGGGCTGTGGGTGTGTGCTTCAGTATTTCGTAATCAGCAGTTTACCGCTTTCAGGGGGCGTAGCAAAAACTGAGCCCAAGGAGAGTATCAAGAGGAAAGACTACCTAGACTAGACCATCATGCTGCCGGGAAGAGGAGGTTAGGACAGACCGGGAGGGAGAAGAGGGCAGGAACTGTAGATGGAAAGCCAAAACTGCCTCAGGCATGATCCTTTTAATAATTCAGTCTCTGTGTCAGGAATAGTAGGTGAAACTTGTAGTTAGTAAGCTTTGCAAACATCTAGCTTTTACTAATGTTTAAGATTTTATTATATTACACGTATGTGGTTATTTGCATGACTGCTCAGGTTGCTGCAGAGGTCAGAGGCATCACACCTGAAGCTGGAATCACTGGCAATTGTAAGCCACCTCCTCAGGTCCTCGGTAAACAGTACATGCTCTTAACTGCTGAGCCATTTCTCCAGCTACCCCCGCCCTCAAGCTGTCTTAAAGTAAATAATGTAACATCTGAAACTCAAACAAAATTACCCAATTTTATCTAGCCTGTCTACATAATGCCCCCATCAGTGGAGGTGGTAAATGTATTTATTTGGCTTTGTTTTGTGGCTGTTCATGTATCTGCTTCCACAACTGTGTGCACTCATATTCTATTCACAATTACTTCTTTAAGAGATGTTATTTTGCCTCAAAAAAGCCCAATCATTAGGTACTTTATACCAAAAAGGCGAGTTTAGGCCCACTGCAAAAATGTTAACACACTAAAAAATTGTTCCATAATCTATCATAAAAGGAAGGGCGGGGGCTGGAGAGATGGCTCAGACGTTAACAGCATTGGATGTTCTTCTAAAAGTCCGGAGTTGAATTCCCAGAAACAACATGGTGGCTCATATCCATCTATACTGTGATCTGGTGCTCTCTTCTAGCCTGTAGGCACACATGCAGGCAGAATACTGTATAAATAACTAAGTAGATAAATAAAAATATCTTTAAAAAAACTTAAACAAAAATAAAGACAGGATGCAAGAAAATTTGACAGGAAGAGAAAACAGAACGTGATATTCTTAAAAGCCATTAGTGAATTTTTAATCTCTCAAAAGTGATGTCTATTCTGCTCACTTTAATCTTAATTTAAAAGAAATTTGAGAAACCAGAAGTAGACTATATAACAAAACAATATTATATAGCACTGGATATAGTTCTTTAGGAAAGACATAAATACCTGTTTTGTAGCAGGTGTCAGTCTTTTTCAAGTAGATTACCTCACTTAATCTAATCCCAAAATCCATTTCAAATCTAGACTTCATCACATTCTTCCAATTTTCTATTCTCATGTTAAACTATTTAAAATCCTTTAAGATTATTTAGTAAGGACCAAAACATCACATTACACTTTAATAAGGCAAATACATCCCAATCAAAATAACTTAAAGGTGTAAAATCCTGTTCTTGAGAACAAGCATGAAAGGTGGACCCATATAATTTAGATAAAAATCATTGTCAACCTATAACGTCTTAACATTCCAAGACATGCAGGTATATTCTTTTCATGAAAACATTTTAACTTTTATGATCTTCTATATACAATTGGTTTAATGTCAATTGTCAAAATGTTCTACATCTAGTCCAAAGGATCTTTAAAAATTAACACTTTACAATCTTCAAATTAGAAGGCAAAGTCCACATCCTTATAAAGCACAGTAGGCTATAGGAAATAGTTGCTAGTATATAAATATTAAAATAGATACAAAGCAATATATGATAGCATGTAACAGTTCTTACTGCTCAGTAGTAGACCCTAAATACTTTTCACAAAGTAGTACCTGAGGATCTAAATGACAAGCAATGAAAATTCAAAAAAAAGCTTGATGCTGGGCAACTGAGGCTCTATGAGAACCTAAATTTAAAATGATTATTAGTCCACATATCATTGCTAATAGTGAATAGGTCAACCATAGGCTCAGGTTATCAAGACAAGAGGAAAAGATTTCTGAATTAATTACTTATAAGGTCTTTCTCCTTCCTAAGTCGTGTTTTATATTCAGAGAAAGAAAATTGGCATGATAAATTCAGTCAGTTAAGTATGAAGAAATAAAACACCAGCCACTGCTTTTATATTACAAGGAAATGTGAATTATCTATATTGAATGAGGAAAATTTGAGCTTCGTTACGGAAATATTTATTAAAAGTAAGATACAGTGCAGTGTTGAAGAGCTCCTCCCGCTCTTACAGAGAATACGAGTTGAAGTCCCAACACCCACATCGGCAAACTTACAACCATCCGTAACTCCAGCTTCCATGGAATCTGAAGACTCAAGCCTCTGTGGGACACACACACACACACAATTTACGTGTACTTAAACATAATAAAATAAATGTAATATTAAAAGACAGAAAGACTTAGTAATTCACATAGTTACAGTTAGGAAATGGCAGGGTTGCAGTTTAACTCAAGACTTCTAGTTCCAGAACTCAGAACCCAAATCATTATGTTACCCTTTCTGAACTTTATTAGGACCAGAAGAAAAGTATTCAGCAAACTGAGAAGAAAATTATTTTATTCTGATGCAAGAATAAAATATAAAAGAAAACAAAAAAAACAAGTACAGGAATGTGATTTTATTAACCATAAGTTCCAAAACACTGTAGTTGAAAAATGTCATTAAAAGTTGCAAAAAAAAAAACCTACTGAACACCAGCGTAAGTACATAATGAATACTTTCAATTCTGGCTACATTAAGCTTATATTGATAATACTTCCATAATATATTTCATTTTATATTAAAAGAATTCAGGGTAAGTAATTCTAGAGAACTATGGAATCCTGGATTCTGTGGAAGATGAAGTATTCTCATGATATTACAAAAAGGACCCTGGAAAGATGGACCAAGGAGACAAACAATCTAAAAGTAGACCATGTTAGTAGTGGTGGGATTTTGAAATGTCATGAAGACAACTGAGAACGCCTTCACACAGTTCATACTTTACTGACCATCAGAATACTGAGCACAAGACTGTAAAGCTAGGAATGTAATTGTATGATGGCCTTTTAGTCATGACTCTCACCTCACTCAACTCACTGTAAGTAAAGGATAAGGGAATGTAATAGATGTGTTTTAGCATCAAATAATGCACAGTAACCAGAAAGCCTATAAATATAGCAAGAGACAGACTCGATTTAAATCAAGTCTTAAAGCCCAGCCTGCTCCATATCAGAAAATTCATACTGAGTAAAGAATGATAAACAATTGTGGAATATCCTGTAACATTTTACATTTCATAAACGAGAGAATTCAAACAGAAGATAAATTGATTTTCACTAGGAGGAAAACAAAAACTACTAAACAGCAGCATGAATATATAATGTATACATTAATTGTGTCTATATTTAAGTACCACTTAATGTTATTTTCATACTATGTTACTTCATATTGTGTTTAAAATGTATCAGGAAGTGATACTAAAGAAACTACAGAGTTTTGGCTTCTGTGGGTAGATATAGTAACCGTATAGAAGACAGAAAAGGGACCTGGCAGGTAGAGAGAAAACCACATGAAATGAATAAAAAGCCCAAGGCCTTTAGGCAGTATGCATTAGAAACGCCATTGATGAGAAATCCATCAAATGAAATAAAAATGAGAAGGTTTTAAATAGTGACTTCCATTAAGAAAATCTTTGAGAGTACTGAAGATACAAGGCATCTAAACAACAGCCTGGAAATTGAAGACAGGTGTTTAGATGGGCCTTTCTAACCATTCTAAATAAAACAGCACCCATCTCCAAGTCACATTAATCCCTTACCCCTGCTTAATGCTTTATAGTGTATTGGCATTCTGTATATTCTTCCTCCACTAAAAGCGCCTTAATAGGAGGGTGTTCACAACCTCTATCCTCAGTGCCTAGGTAAAATATGGCATGTAACAGGCACACAATAATTGCTGAAAGAGTCTATTATAGGTTTAGTTGTCGTTATGTGTAGTATTTGGTATTATGAGATTACCTCATTCTAAATAAAACAATTTACTCATCAAGATTAAATGAACACAAAAAAATGTATTGTTCTTTTATAACACCACAGTAGAAAGTACTACAACTATTATGGTCTACAAATTGTTCTCCAATTGTTGGAAGAGTGGGGAGTTATTTGTACAAAAAGCACCCAGGAATACCCTCATAACTGTACCAACCAGTGAGCCCACAAAGGTCATAAAGGCAAAAATGGAAGCTCTCAGCTTCTGAAGACAGTCTTATTTTCTCAGGTTTAGTCCAAGTAACACTTTACTCCTCCGAGGAATGAATATATATATATATGTATATATATATATATATATATATAATATATATATATATATATA